CATCGTGTATTGTAGTACCAGCAGTTGAAGCAAATTCATTTGAACTCAAGTCTGGAATGATTCACTTGTTACCATCTTTCTATGGAAAGTCGAACGAAGATCCTAACATGCATATTCGGGAATTTTTCGACATTTGTGGCACGATCAAGATCCTAAATGTCTCTGATGAAGTGGTTAGGCTGAAATTGTTCCCGTTTTCATTAAAGGATAGAGCCAAAGCTTGGCTTCACTCACTACCAGCTGAATCCATTAATTCATGGGAGGGATTAGCTCAAAAATTTCTCCAGAAATTCTTCCCTGCGCAGAAAACAAATCAGCTTAGAAGAGATATCATGCATTTTAGTCAAGGAGAGCATGAGCCATTCTATGAAGCTTGGGAGAGATTTAGAGAGTTGCTGCAAAAATGCCCTCATCATGGCATTATTGATTGGATGCAGATGCACCTCTTTTATGAAGGACTTATGACTGCAAACAAACAAATGGTTGACTCTGCGTGTGGAGGTGCAATTGATGGAGAAGACACCTCAAGAAGCGTTTGATCAATTTGATTTGCTTGCCAATAATAATCAACAATGGGGTAGTGAGCGAACAAAGAAGGTAGGAGTTTATGAAGTTGACACCAACACTGCGGTTGCTGCTCAAATTTCAAGCTTTGAGAAAAAACTTGAAACTCTTATGCGTGCTGTTATTCCACCTTCCCCACATCGAGTTTGTGCAATTTGTTCTGAAACTCATCCAATGGAGCTTTGTCCATCTACTATGCAAGGTTCTGAGCAAGTTCGCCAAGTTAATTCGTTTCAGCGACCTCGGAATGATCCATATTCGAACACCTATAATCCAGGGTGGCGTAACCACCCAAATTTTTCATAGAGCAACCAGCAACAACAAGCTAGTTCTAGGCATCCCTTCCAGCAACAAATGCAGCCTTTGAGTGAGCCTAAGAAACCAGCGTTGGAGGATATAATCGCTCAATTTGTGCAGACTTCTCAACAAAATCAGAATACTATGCAAGCGTCCATCACTAAGTTAGAAACTCAAGTTGGTCAGCTGGCTACTATTGTGCATGAGAGGGCGCAAGGTACATTCCCAAGCCAACCTGAGATTAATCCTCGAAATTCTGAGCATGCCAAGGCTATTAGAATGCTGCGGAGTGGAAAATCGTATGGTCCACAAGAGAATGATGCACCAAATGCTGGCCACGCTGAAGACCATGTCAAGAAGAGTGGTGAGGAGGTGGATATTACTTCTAACAAGCCAAAAATAGTCCCACCTACGTCATCTATTATAGCTGTAGCCGAGAAGCCAAAGGAAGAGAGTTACATGCCATCCTTGCCTTTCCCACATCGTGTTCACAAGCAAAGGAAGGACCAACACATGTTTGATATTTTGGAAATTTTTAAGAAAGTGCATATCAACATTCCCTTGCTTCAAGCAATTCAACAACTTCCTTCTTATGCAAAATTTTTGAAGGATGCATGTACAAACAAGAGAAAATTCGCACCCCATGAAAAGGTGTTGTTAACTGAAGAGTGCAGTGCGGTGTTGCTCAAGAAATTGCCTCCAAAACTGAAGGACCCAGGGAGTTTTACAATTCCTTGTATTGTTGGTGATGTGCAATTTGATAAAGCATTTTTAGATTTAGGCTCAAGCATTAACCTTATGCCTTTGTCTATTTTTCAGCGATTAGGTATTGGAGAGCTCAAGAGTACTTCCGTTTCTCTTCAACTTGCGGACAGATCAGTCACATATCCGAGGGGAATCATTGAAGACGTGTTAATCAAAGTGAAGCAATTTGTGTTGCCGGCTGATTTCCTGGTTCTTGACATGGAGGAAGACCGCGACATCCCACTCTTGCTAGGCCGTCCCTTCCTTGCTACAGCTGGTACATTGATTGATATGCAACAAGGTACTTTAACTTTGAGAGTTCAAGGTGAATCCATTGAGTTTAAGGTGTTTGAAGCTGTTAAAAAACCGGGGGACTTGGAAGAGTGCAGCTGCGTTGACATTGTCGAGACCCTTGCACATGCAAACTTCTTAGCAAATTCCACCGATGATCTGTTACAGATTTGCTTAGCAAATCCTGAGTTACAACCAACAGCGGAAGAGGAAGCATTGGACTTGGTGGCGGCACTAAATTCTGCCCCAACTTACCCTCCAAGGTGGCGGCATGAGGTGGAAAGCCTTGGCCCTCCAATAGCTCGAATTGTACCATCTATTGAGAAGGCACCTAAGCTTGAACTCAAACTTTTGCCTGAACATCTCAAGTATGCATATTTGGGAGATAGTGATACATTACCAGTCATCATTGCCGCCACTCTCACTTCCATTGAAGAGGAAAAGCTGCTGCGTGTATTAAGAGAGTTTAAATCAGTGCTTGGATGGTCCATCGCTGATATCAGAGGCATAAGCCCATCGGTTTGTATGCATAGGATACTTTTGGAGGAGAACTCGAAGCCAATCGTTGAAGCTCAAAGGCGCTTGAACCCCAATATGAAGGAGGTTGTACGAGCTGAAGTTTTAAAGCTATTAGATGCTGGCGTTATTTATCCCATCTCGGATAGTGCGTGGGTTAGTCCAGTGCATGTCGTCCCAAAAAAATCTGGAATTACAGTGGTACAAAATGAGAATAATGAATTGGTTCCAACTCGCATGACAACTGGGTGGAGAGTATGTATTGATTACAGGAAGTTGAACTCTTCTACTCGCAAAGATCATTTTCCCCTTCCATTTATTGATCAAATGTTAGAAAGGTTAGCTGGTCACTCACATTACTGTTTTTTGGATGGCTATTCAGGTTACAATCAAATCCCCATTGCGCCAGAAGATCAAGAGAAGACTACATTTACTTGCCCATTCGGAACATTTGCGTATAGGAGAATGCCATTTGGATTGTGTAACGCTCCAGCCACTTTCCAGCGGTGTATGCTAAGTATCTTTTCTGATATGGTAGAGCGAATCATAGAGGTTTTCATGGATGACTTTTCCGTATTTGGTTCTTCTTTTGATAATTGTTTGTCTAATCTAACCTTGGTTTTGGAAAGATGCAGGGAAACTAATCTTATTTTGAATTGGGAAAAATGTCATTTTATGGTTAACCATGGAATTGTGTTAGGTCATTTGATTTCCAACAAGGGCATAGAAGTGGACAAAGCGAAGATTGACTTGATTGCTAAGTTGCCACCACCTACTTCAGTGAAGGGAATCCGATCTTTCCTAGGACACGCTGGTTTTTATCGGCGCTTCATCAAGGATTTCTCCAAGATCAGCCAACCCCTGTGCAACCTCCTTGCCAAGGATGCTTCATTTGAATTTGATGATAATTGTTTGCTTGCTTTTAACACTTTAAAACAGCTTCTAACCACTGCACCTATTATCACTGCTCCGGATTGGAGTTTACCTTTTGAACTAATGTGTGATGCCAGTGACTATGCAGTTGGTGCTGTTCTAGGGCAAAGGAAGGACAAGTTACCGCATGTAATTTATTACGGCAGCCGTACTTTGAACGATGCCCAGCTCAATTACTCAACAACGGAGAAGGAGCTCTTGGCTGTGATCTTTGCATTGGAGAAGTTTAGGTCTTATCTCATCGGTTCGAAGGTTGTTGTGTACACTGATCATGCTGCCCTCAAGTACCTCTTGTCAAAGAAAGAAGCTAAACCAAGGCTAATTCGTTGGGTTTTGTTGCTCCAAGAGTTTGACTTGGAAATAAGAGACAAAAAAGGTGCAGAGAATGTTGTAGCTGACCATCTTTCACGCCTCACCCAAGTTAATGAAGATAAGAAAGACGTGCTTCCCCTCAATGAGAGTTTTCCCGACGAGCAGCTCTTTACCATTCGTCATGAGGTGCCATGGTATGCAGACATTGCAAATTATCTTGTAGGAGGAGCTGTCCCAACTAATCTGAGTTACCAGCAAAAGAAGAAATTCCTTCATGACGTCAAATTCTATTTTTGGGATGAGCCTTATCTCTACAAGTATTGTCCAGACCAGGTTATAAGACGATGTGTTCCAGCCACTGAAAAAGAAAGTGTTCTACGATTCTGTCATCACTATGCGTGTGGAGGTCACTTTGGTGCGAACAGGACTGCAGCTAAGGTTTTGCAAAGTGGTTTCTACTGGCCTACATTGTTTCGAGATGCCCATGATTGGTGTGCTATGTGTGACAAATGCCAAAGGGTTGGTAATCTGTCCAAACGTAATGAGATGCCTTTGCAAAGCATTCTCGTGGTAGAATTGTTCGATGTATGGGGCATCGACTTTATGGGACCATTTCCATCCTCCTGCGGTAATCAATATATCCTTGTAGCTGTAGAGTATGTTTCTAAATGGGTGGAGGCAGTGGCATCGCCAACAAATGATCACAAGGTTGTCCTACGGTTTCTCCAAGGCACAATCTTCCCAAGGTTTGGCACGCCTAGAGCTTTGATTAGTGATGGGGGCCCTCACTTCATCAACAAGCCTTTGAAAGTGCTCCTAGCAAAATACAACATCACACATAGGGTGGCCACTCCTTATCACCCACAAACAAGCGGGCAAGTGGAGGTTTCTAACCGTGAAATCAAACGCATCCTGGAGAAGACGGTTAATGCTTCTAGGAAGGATTGGTCCCTCAAGTTGACTGACGCATTGTGGGCGTATCGGACAGCTTTCAAGACCCCAATTGGCATGTCTCCTTTTCGTTTGGTCTACGGCAAGGCTTGTCATCTTCCCGTGGAACTAGAACACAAGGCCTTTTGGGCAATCAAGAGACTTAATTATGATTATCAAGCTGCTGGAGAAAAGAGGAAGTTACAGCTCAATGAATTGGAAGAAATCAGGAATGATGCATATGAAAACTCCAAAATTTACAAGGAGAAGACGAAGTTGTTTCATGATCAGTCCATACTACGTAAAGAGTTTCATCCTGGTCAGAAGGTTTTACTCTTTAACTCAAGGCTAAAACTCTTCCCTGGCAAGCTTAAGTCACGATGGTATGGACCCTTCCTTATATTGCAAGTCTTTCCACATGGTGCCGTTGAAATTCAGAATATTAAAGATGGGTCGACCTTCAAAGTGAATGGCCATCGCTTGAAGCCTTACCTCGAGTCACCCTTTGAAATAGAGAAGACCTCACTCCCTTTGAGTGAGCCGGCAGATTCTATCTAGTCTCCGTGCATCAAAGTCTAGCTCACGACTATAACCTGAAGCGCTTCTTGGGAGGCAACCCAAGCATTCTCACCTTTGTTTTCATTTGTTTTGGTCTTTAGTTTCTCTGTGATTTCTCTTGCATTTTTCATGTTTTTGTTTTTGTTGTTTTTGTTAAGTTTTGCATCATCAAACATAGGATTTTGTGTTCCAAAGAAAAAATTTCGCATTTTTCTAGCCCTAGGATGTGTGCAGCACGTTTCAGATGTGTTACAGTAGTTTTTTTGGTCAATGGTTGAAGTTAAATGCCAGAAAATAGCAAAATAGCTTAGTCGGTTCTTATTTTGGTCAAAATCAAAATTTCTGCCTAATGTCATTTTTGTTGTTTTTCAGGTCAATCTGAAGCCACCGACGTGTTTAGAATGGTTATTATGATGTTTTGGATCAGGTTTGGGGGTCTTCGGTGGCCTACATTATGTTTTCGGACGATTTGAAGCTCAAAAAAGGACCTAAAATACACAAAAAAAAAAGGCAGCTGCTGTTTTGCCCAGAATTTGAAGATTTTTCGTCACTAAAGGGGTTTTAGCGACGGTGTTCATCGGATTTTTCGTCACCAAAGATGTTTTAGCAGCGGTGTTCATCAGATTTTTCGTCACTAAAAGTCGGATTTCCAGATTTTTATGATTACATATCCAGCTCAAATTCGTTCCAATTTCATTCCATTCCGAGACTTTTAGGAGATATTACAGGTCTATGACATTCCAAGAAGCAAGTTGTGGGTGTTTAAGTTTGTCGCATTGTCTATTCTCTCTCACTTCGACATATTCTACGCTTTGCTCATCCATACACCTAC